AATTAAAGGCGCGGAGCTCTGTCATAAATCTTGAGCAACAGATGCGCGAGTACGTGACGAATGTGACGCACTCGAGTGTAGATCTTTACGGGAGCATGCTGAAGAAGTTGGATGATATGATTACCTCGATGGATGAGGGATTGTTTAGAGATAAGGAGGATATGGGTATGTTTTCCCTTCATCGTCTTGTGATGACTAGTGTCGGGTCTGTTTTCATGGCCCCTCATACTAATATGCATATCTAGTCACGGTATACGGTGATGAGGTCTCATACACGAAGACAGGGACAGAGAGGGAGGTGAAAGCGACATCAACAGGCCCCAGTTTCTTCTCGAAGACCTATCTGTACCACAACTCCCGGCTCCCGGCTCACCTTCCTCCAGTGCATATGTACGCATCAACCATACACTCTATTTAGCTATCCATGTGGATCTAAACTCACATTACAGACTACCGCAAACATACGCCCTCATCCGCCTAGCTGCCCAGTACTCCAGCTCAGCCTACAAGAAACCTGCAGAGCTCACCACGACCAACAACCCCTATGTGAGCGCCAACATCCGTCACGGAACGAAGGCAATGGTAATCAAGCCACTCGCATCAGACGATCTCAAGAGCATCGTCCTCGCAATCCGAGGAACCCAAAGCTTCCGCGACTGGGCCGTGAACATGAAAACGCTGCCAACAGCCCCACAGAATTTCCTCGACGACCCCGACAACCTCTGCCACGCAGGATTCCTCACCGTGGCACAGAGAATGGCCCCTTCCGTTGCGGCTTATCTCCGCGATCTGCTAACCGAAGACCCCAATCGCGTGTCATATTCGCTGATCCTGACGGGCCATTCTGCCGGCGGCGCAGTGGCCAGTCTGCTGTACTGCCATTTGCTCTCGACGAGCGTGTCGTCTGAACTGAAGCACTTGGCTAGTTTCTTCGGAAGCATCCATTGCGTGACATTCGGCGCCCCGCCAGTCTCTATCCGACCACTATTCCCAACGAAGTCCCCAGCATCACTAGAATCGATGTTCTATGCGTTCATCAACGAAGGCGATCCCGTGCCCCGGGCCGAGAAATCCTATGTCACCTCATTGTTGAACCTGTACTTGTCGCCCGCGCCGTTCTCTCTCGGCACAAGCCGGACATACCCCTTCGTCAGCAGACAAAACAAACCGGCCATCTGGCGTGTGCCACCAGCTACACTTCATCTCGCCGGGAATGTAGTCCTCCTGCGACACCAATCGCAAGACCCCCTCTTCAAACCCTCGCACAGCGCAAACAGCGTCCAGGAAGACGAAATCGAAGCCTGCCAAATCCCCAACGAGATCATGCACGATGTCGTCTTCGGAGACCCCGTAAAACACTGGATGGGTCTGTATCAAGAAAGAATAGAGCACCTCGCCCGCAGGTCGCAACAGCCACCTCCCTATCAGGATTAATGCAGCGCAATCCTATTCTAAGCCAACAACTCCCTCCCAATATCAAGACCTAGAAACCTCGTAAGCTAACACAACATAAATCTATATATTAGTCCTTGGGAATCTCGCTACTGCATCATTCGGGAATCCGTGAATGTCCACGGATGATTATAGTTGTTCAGCTGCAAGGTATCGGGTTATTGTAGTGTACTGTAACTATATTGGTGGGGGTGGGGGAAGGGGTACTGATTTGTAGGAACGGAGATGGATTTATGGGTTGGCATTCTGAGGATCTTCATGATAGAACTACCACCGTCTCACGCAATGTAATTAGGGTTTTTTTGATGGTGTACATTGAGGATGGGATAACCAGCATATAGGTATATTGGTTGTTTCTAAGGTCAGTGGCGCAATGGAGTTGGATAAGATTTGCGTTCAGAGTATAGGAGCTGAATATTCAGTGCCCCGTTGCTGTCCCCTACTTAATTGGCGGTTAAGTTCGAACTCGATTAATGAAATTGATAAGGTATCATGTTAATGAATGCTCCTAATAACAACATGAGAGTAAAGGAAATACTTTTCAATCCTTTTTGTTCGCCTATCCAAGCAGCATAACGAAAACAATATATTAACCCGGACATTTATTCCACCCCAATCAACTCAGGTGGGAAAAGATGCATTGCTTTATGATGGCATCCTGCGCAGTGATAAAATACACCCGACAGCTTGACGCTTAGTCAAGAGCATCGGTGATACAGCCGTGGCTGGCATCCTTGACAGTTCTGTTGGAGCGTGTTAGTAACCGAGACCAAGACACATGTATTCTATCGGGCAGAGATAACATACCTGGCGTACTTGCCGAGGGTTCCTCTCATGGTCAAACCGGTGGGAGGCAACTTGCCGGCCTCCTTATCAGCTTCCCATTGCTTGCGTCTCTCAGCGAGAGTCTCCTGGTCAACTTCGAGGTCAAGAGCGCGCTTCTCGGCATCAATGACGATGACATCGCCATCCTTAACGAGACCAATGGGTCCACCAACAGCAGCCTCGGGGACAATGTGGCCGATCAGGAAGCCGTGAGAACCGCCAGAGAAACGTCCATCAGTTATGAGGGCAACCGACTGTCCAAGACCATAGCCCATGAGGGCAGAAGAAGGCTTCAACATTTCTATCCCACGATTAATGATTAGCTACGTCAACCAGAGGAATCTGCACTCTCGATACGTACCGGGCATACCAGGACCACCCTTGGGTCCGGTGTAGCGGATGACCACAACGGTCTTCTCTTCCTTCTTGATCTCACCGCGCTCCAGAGCAGCGATAAAGTCATCCTCATCATCGAAGACACGTGCCTTACCAGTGAAAGAAGTACCCTCCTTGCCAGTGATCTTACCAACACTGCCACCCGGAGCCAGGGATCCCTTAAGAATCTGGATGTGGCCAGTCTTCTTGATGGGGTTGGACAGAGGGCGGATGATCTTCTGATCTTCGGGGAAACCGGGCACCTTCTCGAGGTTCTTGGCCAGAGTCTCACCGGTGACAGTCATGCCGGAACCATCGATGAGGCCTTCCTTGAGCAGGAACTTGAGCAGCGCGGGAGTACCTCCGATCTTGTGCATGTCGGCCATGACGTACTTGCCCGATGGCTTCAGGTCAGCCAAGAAAGGAATACGGTCAGAGACAGACTGGAAGTCCTCAATATCCAGCTTGATACCGACCGAATCAGCGATGGCAATCAAGTGAAGCACGGCGTTGGTCGAGCCACCGGTGATGTTCACCACAACCATGGCGTTTTCGAAAGCTTGACGGGTCATGATATCCCTAGGGCGGATGTCCTCCTTCAGGAGCTTCTTGATCGCCTCACCGACAGCCAGACACTCAAGGTCCTTGGCGCGGGACTCGGCGGGGTTGGAAGAAGAGCCAGGGAGAGTCATACCAATGGTCTCAATGGCAGTGGCCATGGTGTTGGCTGTGTACATACCACCGCAGGCACCACCTCCTGGGCACGCGTTACGGATAATGTCGAATCGCTGAGGCTCGGTAATGTCGCCGCTCAAGAACTGTCCGTAGGCCTGGAATGCGGAGACAATATCAATTTCCGCATTGTCCTGGGTAACGGCACAGCCGGGCTTGATGGTGCCTCCGTACAACATGATACTCGGCCGGTTGACTCTGCCCATGGCCATCAACACACCGGGCATGTTCTTGTCGCAACCCGGGATACTGATGTTGGCATCGTACCACTGACCACCCATAACAGTCTCGATGGAGTCGGCAATCAAATCACGACTCTGGAGAGAGTACCGCATACCCTTCGTACCCATGCTGATTGCATCACTGACACCGACGGTGTTGAACTGCATGCCGATCAAGCCTGCCTTTTCCACACCTTGCTTGACGCGATGGTTGAGATCGAGCAGATGCATGTTACAGGGGTTACCGCTATACCAAACGGAGGAGATACCGACTTGAGCCTTGTCCATGTCCTTCTCCGTGAGACCCGTAGCGTAAAGCATAGCCTGGGAAGCACCCTGCGAGATAGGCTGTGTGACATGGCGGGAGACCTTGTTCAGAGCGTTGTCGTCCTCAGAGGAAGAGGCCTTCTGCTTGGGGAGGGTAGTAGAGATGGGACGACTAGAGAAAAGAAAATAAATAAATCAGCAACCTGCCATCGGTGAGTGGGAAAGGGTATTTCGTTCGATCGCCTTACACATTGACGGCGGACCGCCTGGAGAGACTCCGCAGAGCAGAGGGCATACGCCCCCGGGTTTGTGAAAGAAGCATGATCGCAGCTGGAGGGGGGAGTATGGGGTCCGTGGAAACAAGACACAAGTGTAATTGAGAACTCAATTGAGTGAGAATAAATAGCTTCTGACCTCTACAGAAAGTGGAGCGGGTCGCCGAGAGTGACGCCCGTCCTCCGCAGCGAAGTCGGGGGCCGGAGTTGGCCTCAGGCTCCCCGATGCCGGTTGGCCCAATCCCGTGCCGTAGTTTGTCAGCACTCAGGCCAATCATGCGTCATGGACTACAACAATTACCCACGAGTATACATAAACAGCAATCGACCTCTAATCATCTTCACGAATGTTCTGTATTGTGTTTGAAATTAATTATTATACACTTAAACTCTTTTATGAAACCATCTAGAACCTGCAATTGCTGTCTTCTACCACCCTTTTTGCTTGCGGTTTTGTCTTGAGTATTGTATATCCGTAAAAAGAGAAATAAAGAGAACAAAAAGAAAGAAAGTATAGATAAAAGCGGTTAGGAAAAGCGGAAACAGTTCTAAGGGTATACCGGTCCTTTGGGCTAGCCAAAGTAAGCGAATGATATGAGAAAGGTTATAGAGAGGAAGAAAAGAAGAGAGAAAGAAAAGTGGGAAGAAAGAAGACAGGCAGAAAGAAAAGAGAAAGAAGATACAGAAAAGAAAGGAGAGGGGGCGAAAAAAAGACTAAAGAAAAAGAAGAGAAGAGAGACAGATACAGGAACACTATCAATGCATCATCCCGGTGGCCATCTCTGCATCGCGTAGCAAGGCAATATAGAAAATCGGCACGAAGAGTGGCGAAATATAAACCAAGAGACCAGCTCTATGGTACCTCTTTGTCACCTCTCTTCAACCCACTCGGTACGTCGATCGCTTTCGCAACCCACTCGATAGATGCGATCTCATCCAAGCTTTTGCGTTTAGTATTCCGCTTTAGGAGCCCTTCAACGCACTCACGGGCCCCCTCTAGATCTTTCCCCTTCTGGGGATCCCATTCACCGTCATTGTCGGCATACCGATACCATGACCACTCACATCGCGCAATGCGGTGTGGGGTACGAGCACGGAGTTTCGCCGGGTCGCCTCGAGTACCCGGCAAAGCATCGAACGGTAATCTGTTTTCCATCATCGCATAGAGCAAGACGCCAAGGGCCCAGCCATCGGTGGACCGCCCATCATAGGGCTGTCCCATCAGAATCTCCGGAGCGGCATAATCCTCGCTGCCACATCGGGTTTGGAGGAGCGGGCTCTCCGGAGGTTGCGGAATTCGTCTGGATAGGCCCAGGTCGGTAAGGGTAACGACCGCGCGATCGTATGTACGCCAGTCAGTTATCTCCTCCATAGCAGCGGGAGGAAGAGTAACTAGGACATCTGTAGTTGGTCCGACTGGTAAGCACTATAGTCAACCCAGGCCACGGTGGAATCTCTTACTCTCAAGTTTAATGTCGCGATGGACTATGAAGTTGGCGTGGAGGTAGCGCACGGCAGCCACCAACTCAGAGAAAATCCGTCGAATCAGCTCTGGGCTCATGGGCCTCGGCCCAGAGGTTGCGACGTCGAACAGGTCACCTCCCGGGCAGTAGTCCAAAACCAAAAGAGCGCGCTTTTCGTCGCTTCCAAACGCTTTCAGTTGCACAAGGGAAGGATGGTTGACCGATTTCAAGATGTCCACTTCCCGCTTGAGTGATACCTCCAATCGTTCCTCATCGGCTCCACCCGCTGGGCCATGCTCAATGACCTTAACAGCGACAAGCTTTTGCGTAGCGGCATTCACCCCTTGGAGGCTCGAACTGTAACCAGATTCCATATCCCGCAGCTCCATGCGTACTGCTAGACATACTTGACTGAATGTGCCCTCTCCGAGCTCGCGCAGTTTGCGATACTTGCGCGGCTGCTGGGACCTAATGGAACGTACCGAGTATATTTCATCCGAGCCATCCATGGATTTTGGACTGAGAATGACAGGCTCCACATCACCATCAGATGTACTGCGACTACTTCTTGGAGGTGTCGGAGGACGGACCGCAGGTAACGCGATGCCGCGATGAATTGCCAGGTGTTGTTCCCGGTGCAAGTTGTTTGATTTCGAGTCGGTACTTGACGATGAAAAAATCCCTTGAGACACACCCGATCCCGAAACTGCGATTGGACGCGGCTTGATCGGAATGGCCTTCGTCGGAGGGACATACTCACTAAGGCTACGATTACGAGCATGCTTCGGAGCTCCATCGAGGCGTGGCTTGCTAGGTGTCTCTAGATGCTTGTCAGCACCCAACATCTCCGCCATGCCACGTTGCTTGCTGCGCGATCGGCATTCCGAGGGCCCCAACACTTGAGATGAGTCACTTAAACGCAAGCTCAGGCTCGAGCCGTTCCGCGAAAGGAGGGATGGAGTCCGCGATAAAGATTGTGAATTGCGGCGCGGTATTTTCCATGGCGAGACGCCACCAATCGGCGAAGGCAAGGGAGTGATGTCTCCCATGGCCATCAGCTGTGGCGACGACAGTAACGATGCTGGAGACAGGGAACCTCCTCCGGAGGAAGGCCTTTCGAGAAAGCCACGCAAACTCGATGTTCTTCGCGGAAGGCTGCTCGATGAGAGGCTGTGATGCATGAAAGGGTCAGATTCTTTCGACGGGCTCAGTTGCGTTGTGCACGGCAGGTCTGTTCGTATCTGAAGCGACGGAAGCGGCTGTGGAGCCCCGGGGTAACATTGGTGAATCGCTTCATCCTTTATACTCGGTGAGAATTCTCCATTCAAGGATAGTGGAGAGCAAACATTCTCTTCTCCAGAGCTCACTGAAGGCACCGAAGAAATTTCATTGTTACTCGAAGCCGTTGCAGCAGAGGCTTCGTGTAACAGAATAGGTTGTTTAGCAAACAATGCTGACCGATCGGTCGGTTGAGACGAATCCGGGGAAATCATCGAACGAGTCAGAGGGTTAAGTGCTGCGATATCCCAATGGCTCTATGTACCGGAAGGGTACTGCTGTCGCGGCGCAAAGTGGACCCAAAGCGCAGTTGTCACTCGAACTAGGCGGGTAACCGCTACCGAAAAGGTCCCTCGGGTTAAACTCTAAGTAGACCAAGCTGGACTTGGTGTGCAAAAGGCCCTTAGGCCTGGAGTTCTGGTCGAAACCGGGAGTGAATAGGAATTAATGGGCTGTGTTATCAAAGCATCTGGGATGGGGAAGGAAGTGGCGAGGATAGGAAAGGGAAGAAGAGGAGAAAGATAAGATAATGGTGAAAAGGGAAAGGAGATTGGGGGTTACTTTCTTTTTTTTTAATTTGGGGAGTAAGAGGAGGCAAAACTAGGGTCGGGGACGGGATGGTTGTTCTTCCCCAAGGGCTAAATCCACTTCCTCCCGGGCAGTATCCATGCACAGCGTTAAGTTTCGCTGCTGCTGCTACTTTGGATGACGCTACAGGAAAAAAACCCACGCGGGGTCAGCTGATGACCGCTCCGTTTTAGGATTAGTGGCCACGAGGTGAAGGACTCAACAGGATTTAACGCTACCCCGCATCCAGTAATGCCGTTGGCGGGAAGACCAAAAGAAGAACCACTGTTCCTTTCCATATCAAGATCGTCTCAGTCCTTTTTGGTAGTGTTCCTCCCAAATTCAGGCCCGTCCTGGAAATGGAAGCTTTATGAGGCTTAGTCTTGTTGGGGATCGTGGGAAGGGTTCGGAGTACAGGGGGCAACAATTAATTGAGGCACACTGAAGTCAGTGGCTGGATTGTGATGGATCATGACTGACAGGAGACTTTTTGGCAGGACCCACTCTGTGGGTTTTCTTTTCTTTTTTTTTTTCTTTTTATCTTTTTTTTCTTTTTTCTTTTGTCATTTTATTTCTATTTTATTTGTTTTTGGTACACATACAGTGTATCATTGATCCATTCGTTTGAATGATAATCAGATTTTCTTTCTTTCTTTGACCGTGATTAAAGTGGTCGTGCCTTGCATATCCTCTATAGAGATCAGGCAACCTGCCCACTACTAGCAGTATGTTGCGTTGTGTTGCGCTGCACAAAACGTTTATTTATCCTTCAATTCTAACGGCGCTATTGTCTATCCTTGCCTCTCAACAAACCCAGGGACTTCAGTAGTATTATTTACTACTCGAACTGTTGCAGATACCTATTTCCCAATCGGGGAACCAGCGAACTGCAAGAAATCCCAAACGGGCAACGGGCCCTGTTTCGGACATCCAGGTGATTTTAAAAAGGGAAAAAACCCGCAATGACATTCGTTGAATGGCAAATGATCCATGGATCGCGAGTGGCCCAGTCCTATCCAGGCTAAGCTTGATTTAAGTGAAACTAAGCCGGATTAGGTCTCAGAGACCGGGAAAGTGGTTCGTGAAATCCTAACACTAAAACAACCCCAATTGCAAATGCGAGCGACCAGATGTTCTCGATTCCCGCATTCCGATTTCCCAATAGTCGATGGGACTCGAGTTCATGCCGAAATTTCGGGTCAAACCGCATTCCATGGTTTCAAATCTCCGACCCATTTTCGGCGTAACGAGTCGTTATTTATCATCTGTCGAGTTGATTTGACGCACAGTGCACATCATCGGCCACACTACCTTAGCGTCTGCGTTAGTCTTCTTGAGGGGGCAAATTTAACTCCGTCGGTTGTACAGAGTACACAGTACCCTGAATCTGATCACTCTGAAATTGTGAAGGATTATCCTCGGTTACTTGCCTCATGATCGACAACTGCCCCCAAAGTCTACGTAAGCTGTGTGATACTCACCAGGTTTGCTTTTCTGTCCTTCAGATCTGTGATTCGTCACAGGAGAAATTGAAACAGGGATCGCTCGACGATCGCCAAGACAACGAGCTATTGAAAAGGCCCCGTTGACCCAGCATTTCGGGCCTACGGGCGCATTTCTTTCAAATGAATGGCTGGAAAGCGTTTTCTTGGCAGGCATGCCTGGTTGACTAGTTCCGGTTGGTCAATGCCATAATTATCTACTCCACACCTTTGTTGCTGACTCGAAGTCGATTAAAGATCTGCCAATGATGCTACTCTGTAGATTCTGCGGATGACGTGGATCAAAATCTTGTCATTTTATGAGACCAATGTCCCTGGATCTTGGAAGGATAAATACTTGCCAGAGGCCTCGCAGAAACATCCACCGGGATTTCTTCGCTCGATTCACGGTCCAGACCACTTTAGTTCGAGGGATGTCTCATTTCCGAGTAATCATAGGTCCCACTACACATTGCGTTGCTAAGCAAAAGCTTCGATGGGTCACTTGCCTGCCGGACCCAACTGACCCAGTCTCAGGGTATCAGCCCTAACGGTTTTCATCGTCGTATATTCAGAATTTCAGGCCCTCCACCGACAGCCGCGTGGCCGCTTATGAGTATCTGAAGGAGCCACTAACCCTGAGACTGGGACTGGTGAAAATTTTCATACTAGCCCTGATACCGTTGCACCCACCTTATGCTACAGTTGCAGTACTTTGCCTGCAGAGAAAATCTCCGTTCAAGCCGTTGCTGGAAACGTTTCAGGGTCAATGCCGATGTTACTATGCTGTGTTGCATACTAGTGTTCCAGATACGGAAACTGAATGCAGGTTTGATCCTTCTTCAACGGCACTATCACTTTGTCCTCGAAAACGACAAAACCCACCACCCCTGCTCATTTAACAATCACATTCCTTATAAAACTAATTTCAGGAGGGAGTCAGGATGTTCAACGAAATGACCGCTAACCTCGCCTCAAAGCTTATGCTTCCAAATAACTCAAGAATGGACCCAACTTATGAACTGGAATGTGAGGGCAAAAACGGTTGCTTACAATCCTCATCGCTGTAACTGAATTCCACACTAGCCTAGATCTTATTTGCCTTGTCGCGTGATCAGATATGGAGCGTCATGCGCTACGCCTGAGTAAGCTCTCAAATACTTTCTTTATCTAGTAGATAAATGAGAGACAGCGATCAATCATTCCATAATAGGTACAAAAGCTACAAATCAGGCATTTGTATGTTACCTAGGAGATTTGAGGCACAAGTTGAGGCATCGACTTCGATTATCAACGATTGTCCAAATCCGGCAGCTACCTTGCTGAAAACATTACACCAGACAATTCTGTACAAACCATCGGCACGACAGCTAATCAAGCAATTATTGCCTGAGCCATGTAATCTGAGAATCTAAATGTTGTCAAGGGTATGGTGCTGTCCAGTGTATAAACTGAAATATATACATACTTTCACCCCTAAAGCGATGATTCTGCGAGGAGGTCCGAATAAGGCATATTCGTGGAACGGGCAAACACCCGAACTATCAGGCACCAGTGAGCTGTGATTGGTAGACTGCACCCAACGTTTGGCTGCTTTGTGTCCAGATGCAGCACCTTACTCAAAGTGGTAATGAGCATAGGCCCGGGCCGGGCCCTGATGAGCTAGGAGTATATCGTCGTGTAATAAGATGTGCTATGCAGCTTGATTCTGCAGCACCCTAAGTAATTTCTACAAGTCTCAGTTTCTAGCCTTAGTTTCTCTTTTTTTTTTGAGTTTGCCCTAGTAGAATGATGCCTTATTTCCCAATTTGTAGTATCGATGCACTTGAAACAGCTACGGCAGCATTCGATTAAGGTTAAACTTGTGAAACAAGGGGTTCCTGGTTGTAAACATTTCAGTCTAATAGGCTCATTGACTGTGACAAGTCACAGGTAGAACGTGAGAACCAACACATCGCGTTTCAGTAAGCCTGTACTAAGGCGGATTTGCGTCATTCCTACTACTGCCGCGACAATTTCCGAGCAACCGTCCGAGTGATCTTCCAGTCCGATGTAACAGATGACTTATATGGAGAAATGGTATCAGAGATAGTAGGGAGGTAACGTCGTAAATTCAGTCTGTACATAGACTGCATGAGCAGGATCGATTGGCCCCTGTAAGTGATGGGCTCTGAAGTTGGACCAATTGGACATTAGCCATTCTAAATCTGGACCAGACCAGTGATGGGGAGACAAAGTGTGAGCGCCATCACCAAGAGTTGGACTTACAGCACAAAACCTTGTTATTAGACTCGGGTCTAGCTCATTTTCCATCTCGCTTGGTTCATACTATGAGAGGTTGTAATTGGCCTCAGACGCAGTAGCTGCTACCAAGGGCCTATAGGAGCTTCTTGTCACTGCTCTTGGCCAAGAGATTGGCGGCGGTTCGGGCTTCTCACATCCGAGATAAAGGTGACACCGGGATACCCAGCATGATTCGTGAACAACGCATATGCGCTCTGGAATATGAGGAGAGTCGAGGTTGTGATGTAGACCCCGTCGAGTTCCATAGTGAACCCAGGCGGAAAGGCCTCAATCCAAGTGAGGAATCTGTCCAGCTGTTCCCGGGTCATTTTTTCAGCGATACGGACTGAAAAGACTGCACGTAGCGAAGGGGCAATCGTGCTCGGGTTAATCCGTGTGACGCCAGTGAAAGGGAAGCAGACAGATGCCCCTAACTTGACATGATGTGTTGGCTTGATAACCGAGCTATTCCCTCGAATAGTCGCCATTGCGTCCGAAAATACCACAAAGTGGTGGCCGTCTCTCTTGCGTCGAGCAATCTCGCCCCGCAACTTTTCAGTTAAGGTATTGTGTGGTGCTTTAAGGGCTTCTGGAGTGTGATCATCACTCGCAGAAAGAATTTCGACAACGCGAGTCGTAGGATTTAACGCTCGCTTTGCCACATATGAGTAACAGCAATCCAGGACGAAGACAGCGTCTGTATCTGCGATGTCAAAGTCCTGGAAATCTCCTGCCACTACAGTATCGATGATTCTTTGAAGGTTTATGCTTCGGCGGGATAGTCCTTCGACAGAAAAGAGCTGTTCCCCTCGAACAACTCCGTGCCCAGCATAGTGAATCAGCACGATTGATTTGCCGGGTGCGTTTGCTGCGAGTCGGAAAATCAATCGTACTGATTCATTAAGTGTCCAGCCCGGGGTCTGATCGTGTTCGGCCAAGATCTCAACTTCAGCTTGGTCAAGATTTAGTGTCCTCAGGATCGCCTGAAAATGATCGAGGTCTGCAGAGGCATTCGTCTTGTCTCGCTCCCATCGAACACTCAGCGCGAAAGAGTTGTTGTAAATTTGGCTGTGATTATTCACAGCGCGAGTGATCACATCCTCAAACTGTGCACGAGTTATTGCGTTCATGGTTTGGTCTGCGCTGATGACTTCCATGGTGAATTTATGGAGTTATATTGTAAAGGGAATGAGTTTTTAGTGTGTTTAGAGGATTGTACGAAGAGCTGGGCGTGGGAAAGTAGTAGTAATCTGCATTGAGTCAACAATACGAAGATAGTTCTAAATTATCAGATCATTCTTGAATTACGGTCGATACCCTCTTCATTATGATGACATGCACTACCTCATTCGTTGGAAGGCTGTCTACCAAGAAATTATCCGTAAGGTAACAGCCGGCATAGAGATACATATGGCCTGACTTAAGCTACATGGGTTACAACTTAGGACAAGATCTTCTACACTATGCTATGCTGCCAAGTGTTAATTGCTTCCCGCGCATGGATTTGATATACCAATCACTACCTTTTCATCCATAGCAGTACTCTTCAAGGAGGGTGAGACCGCGTGAATTACCTACGAAATTCACTGGAGTGCATAATCTAGATTTAGAACTTGTCGACAGCTATATGGAGAGAGATATATGCACTGATGGTTAGGTTGAGTGACCGATTTGGTTAATTGTGTCGCCGAGAGAAATATATCTTTGCCACGGAATATGAGGATGGTACATTGTGGATTACGAATAGGACCTAAAATAGAAGAACTGTCTTCTTATATCTATGATAAGAGTTAATGTCGAATAGATACTAAATATGGTCAAGTATAGAAGACGCTTGGTGTAGGTAGCGAGAGGTACTATTATTATTTGACAGATACTGTACATCAGTTAGTACGGTAAGATTGTGATGGAAAAATATGTTAGGGTGATAATAATATTTTGAGACCGGTTTTCCAACAAGTGGTCCCATAGCTCAGTCGGTTAGAGCGCTGTGCTAATAACGCAGATGTCGAGAGTTCGAGCCTCTCTGGGATCATTACTTTTTGCGCCTCAAATTTTTACTCTCACACCTCGTTTTCTTATTTCTGTAACTCCCCCAAGATACATCATCTCCCTTCCCCGGAACTGTCCGTACAGGTGTATTCGTTTTGTTTCCCTTCACTTTCCTGATATATGTGCAATGTTCAACTGTTCAGCAAACTGTGGTCTGAATAGTCTTTATCCGCCTCCCCACAAAACCTACATCCACCCACACAGTCCCACACCCTGCTCCATATTGCGTACTATATATATTGTATGAGGTGGCAAGTGACTGTAGGGCCTGCTAACCAGCTATAAGTGAGACACCTATGTGAAGCAAAGGGCTTTGTCTTGATTTCGTCCACAAGGACCCATAGGTCCTAGCAGCAGGATTGTATTTTGTCTAGATCAAAAGTATTCAGCAGGACTCCACGCCATAGAAGCTCGACATATACCTACTTAGACTTCTAAGCCTTAGCAATCTAGGCATGGTTTAGTGGAAAGTCGGCTGAACCATACTGTACCATACATCGACATGCCCGATTATCCCGAGAACTCGGCCCGGGAGTATGGTCGTGGTTGAACCCCGAGGATGTTAGTTCATACTAAGGTTGAAAACTTGGTCCAAAACAACACCGAGAACTAACCAATAGTAGAGATCTGAAACTACAAAGACTGTTGAGTAAGCCGCTCAACTGAACCTATAATAGGCAAGAAGTCGCTTACATAGTGTGTATCGGCATTGCTACCTGGATCTCCGAGCACTTCGGAGAAAGATACAGCCCTGTCTATTTCTGTTGCTCGAGACTAGATCTCTCTGGCTCCACATGTCTTACATCAAAATTAGATTTTCCCTGGAGCCGATATGACCTAGATAACCATAGCAGTAATATGCTATCGGGTAGCAGGGCCGCGTCAGCCATGGCTATTCTTGACTGAAGCTAAGAAAAACCAGCGAAGGGCTATGAGCACGATCTGTATGTTCTATTGGTCACTATACAATATTGACTTGATAGAATGATTCGCCTCAAGCATATCCATGCTTGGCATACTTAGATTAGAAACAAATCAGGAACAGAGTTCCAGCGACCTGAGATCCATAGATTTGTGGTCTTAGGTGCTCATACCTTCCATAAAACCCACTGAGACCCTCTCTGACCGCATCAGTATTGCAGAAAAAAACCTTACACACTCGTTTACTAAAATATCCATTCATACGAAACCCAAGACTCGCTCCTTAGACTCACAATGTCAGTTACATCAACCGCAACCACCACCGCGGCCTCCGCAACCTCAACCTGCCACCAAAAACTCTACGAGATCCCCGTCAAAGATGCCGCCTGCGCAATGCCGATGCAGGGAAATAACTCTGCAATCATGAGCAGCTGTTGCTCCTCCGCCTCCGTCGTCTCCTACAGCGACTGCGACTACTACTGCCTGGCCCAGGGGCAGAACGTCGGCGATCTGGCGGAATGTCTCATCAAAGCATCCGAGCCCGGAGAGGTGTGGTGCAACACCAACGCCAACGCGACGGCCACCGGTAGTGTTCCTACGACTGGGGCGGGCACTATCGTCACTACTGCCTCTGTTACTGACTCGACTGCGACTGGGACTAAGAGTTCGACTGGTGCGACTTCGACTTCTACTACCAATGCTGCTGGGGTGAAGAAGTCGATTGGAGTGCTTGCACTCTTGCTGTTTGGATCTACTGCTGGGCTGTTGGTTTAGACACACCTATGTCTTGATTTTGAGAGGTTATAGGCCTTGAATATGAGTAGAGGGTCAGCTCGACTTTGCCTGTCGCTCTTTGATTCGGCGAAAGCCTTTGTGCTTTTTAGTGCTATTATCTTGTTTGTGTCCTGTGTTTATTGTGGTTTCATTGTAAGATTACTCAACAGGACAGTGTTTATCTTAAATTCTGCCAGACCAGTATATAATTGCTGTTCTATAATTAAGAATCCGAGGGATTATATTGCAAAGTATGCCCCATGCCACCTAGTCCATGAACGCAGGCCTACGACCCCTTTCACTCAGCACTCCCTCGTAGAACAACCTCCTTCATCATCCCATTGAAGCCTTCCCCAATGCGTGCCAGTGGGGCTTCGATTGCAATGGGTGCCCAAACCTGGCTTTCGCCATTGATCCCCAGCCGCGCAAGAAACTCCATCCTTGTGGATCCCGCACCTGAATCGGAGACACTAAGCAGAGTCTGATTGCCCTTTCCAACCAAATGCACCTGAGTCCACGTATCCAGGGGAAGACTGTAGTTGAGTGAATATGGGTTTCCACCGCTTATCAGGGTCATGTTGCTAATCGACCCATTTCCACTTAGAAGAACCGAGTCGGGTCCGGCAAAGAGGGTGCCAGGGTTGCTTGACGTGGGGTTCACCCAGAATGATAAAGTGTAGTCTCTCCCTTTGCTACCCAGCGGGGTGTCCACATAGCAGCCGTTGGAAAGTACGAGAGCAGAGTCTTGGACGTGGCATCCCCGCATGACTCCATCATAGCCGTTTCCTGAATGATCAACGACGGTCTCGGTGTCACTATCGAATTTGTAATGTAGTATGGTATCAGTGTGGCTCTTCACTTGGCGATCCAGGTTCTGTCCAGGGATTGCGCCGTGAATCTTGTCGAAAACTGCATCATATTCCTCCTCTAGAATGTTTCCACCCCATTGTTTGTCGGCCAAAGCTGGAAGGGTATCCCTCCACGAATAGTATGTTTCAAGAACCGTAGTGGAGTTCGGGCCATAGTCGTTCCACAGAGCTGCGAGGTGACCAAGCACGTGCGGATCGTTTCGAGGAGGATTGTTGGTGACATTCTTGGTGTCGAAGACGTTGGGAGCAAAAGCCCCGCCGGCGGGATTTCCATGGAACACACGAGTCTTGTTCAGCGTGGATGGGTAGCTACCGGACCACTTGCCTACAATGTAGAACGCATCGTCCGAATTGAGTACATTATATCCATTCTTGATGTAGTCGAAGTAAGGATTATCCTCGAAGAACTCCCAATGCTGGATGGAAACATCCGTGGACACATTGGCACCCTGTATTGGGGTGAAGGTGCCCCAGATTCTCATGCTCTTTCCTGATTCTCTGGAGATATAGTCGCGCATTGTATTAACAAAAGATGTATAGTCAGTCACAAGATCTGTGTCATATTCGTCTGCACCTATGTGGACTGTTTTGCTGTGGAACCACGGCAAGAAGGTCTTCCAAATGGCCTTCATAGTAGGAATGGTGTCAGGGTGAGTAATGTTGAGCATGCTGAGATCGTCAAGCGCCAGCTCAGGGCGCCACTGGGAGATAACCAGTGCATGGCCTGGAGCTTCAATTTCGGGAATAATAGTGACACCTCGTCGGGCACACTGTTGTTGGACGTTGTCAAATTGTTCCTTAGTATAGGATTCATTGGCGCGTTTATTGAGACCAGCTACCGCAGGATCATCCGACCATAGGCGGAATGCTGCATACAGATCCATTGACTGCTGAGCGGAATATCGATCTACGTTGTTGTAGAGATTGTCGCTTAGATGCACGTGAAATACATTCTGTTTGAAAAAGGACAGGAAGGCGCACATTTCGATCAGAAACTCAGGGGGGTAAAAGTGGCGCCCAGCATCCAACTGTACAAGTCTCGGTTAAGGTATATAACGAGGCAATGGAGTAGTTTGGCAAGCAAGTTACATACCATGACACCTCTATTGGCCCACCCAGGCGCATCCACAGCAGATCCTTGGGGAAGAGTGTGACCACTGACGACAGCGGCCTGAATCAATGACCGCGATCCCCACCAAGCACCTAGTGGACTGGCTCCAGAGATTCGCACGCCATTTTCGTTGATTGTTAGCGTGTATGCTTCCGAGGTATATCTCCCGGCAGCGTCTTGGAATCCAGTCTCATTGGCAAGCGTAAAGAAAATTGAGTTGACTGCGGCCGTCCTGCTAGAGGTGAGTGGTATATCAATCCCTACCGTGGATTGGAGGTCTTTTTGGAAAGTCTCGGCGAATTGTTGCAAGGTAGGTGGGATTTGGGTTGCTCCATCATTGTCTATAGCATCGGCATAGCGCGCATCAACCACAATACTGGTGAGTTGAGATAAGGAATAGGTGTCGTTCGCTCCAGTGAACGGGATAGTTGGTATAGTCACCAATCGGGTGTAACCTGCTGTTTGTGAGACGTTGTCATAATATAGATTTGTAGCTCGTACCTCCTATAGAAAGAGATAGGAAAAGACCTAGATTAATAACCTGACCCCAAAACATATCGGTAGACAATGCAGATATGCGTTTTGAGTTGAGATCTTTAAAGTAGGAGGTCTAGAGACACCCCAATGATTTTTTTTCCTATTTAAGGCCCGGGCTATATGTTTGGTAGCATCTAAGCCATGTAACATGGCGCACAGTTACTATCAACACTTCGCTTGGATATATCGGCAAAGAAAGAAGGTTACAATTAATTAACACTAGTCAGTTATAGTGATCTGCGCGTGGAGCAACGTTTCATAGCAAACGAGAGGCGGGGGCTCTCTCATATCTCTAGTATGAATGGGCGATTTCTATTAGTAGCGAATAGAAATAAGCGGACTTTGCTGAACTCTATCTAATTTGTATTCTGGGACATTGTTGTCATACAGACAACAAACCAACCGTGACTTTTCTTGAAAGATTCGGTGACTGCCATCATTTCACTCTTCCCAGAGTGGAAGCATGTTGATAGTGCTGGCGTCAAATGCTTATCTCAATGATTAAGGAGCTTGGACTCCGCGACCCCGCACGGCACGAGCAAGAGCAATGTTTGATAGATTGGTTGAGCTCACTGCTTGATCCATACAGGTCGGGGAGAATCCGACTATAGCCGTGCAGATCGCCATTAGACTTCCAAATCCCGCATGGCTCGAGTTAGCAATGTCACCCTTATGTAACCTGGGGGTTGGTTGGTTTCTCCGCTGTATAATGACATTGACCGACTCCAAGAGTTAGCACCTGATCGGCTCCGAGGCATGTCGACGGTTGGAAACTGCGCAATATCGGGTATTGCGATACCATCGAGTGGATTTCCCACCAATGGGGATTCAATCGACCGAAACACAGAATCTTGATACTTGATGCTGCTCGAATATCGAAATGGTCACCTGACCATCGGCTGTAAAGCGGCACATGACACACACTCTGCCGATGCGGCATCCAAGAACACCCGGATCTCTTGAGGTTCAATCAAACTGCACCAGAAGGCCAGGGGAGACGCGAAAAGCAGGGATTGTCCATCGCAGTGCTATCATCAAAGCCAGCGACTGGCCCGGAAGAGAATGATTCGTTTTGGCATCAAGTCTTTCATTGTGAGTTCCTAAAGAATTAAGATCACCAGACAGGACGAAATAAAACCTGCATTTCGCCATCAAGAACCCATAAACGCAGGGGACCGCTATATGTACAGGAAAGTTTAGACCCATTACCATGCCGGTCCCAACCATGGATAATGCAAATGCTTCGAGCGCCGGAGGGAAGAGATTCGAGGAATAACAAGAAAAATCGTTCTAATACAGCGTGGACCAAAAATAAATTAAATAACAACACCCTCCCGCTTTGCTGAAACAAACCCATAATGGACAATCATTTCGGACAACTGTTGGCGAATGGAGGTCGACTCGGTTCGAGTGCTAGAATACAACGAAACGGAACGAGCGGCATCTACAGGAAGGTCTTGCGCACAAGCTATGATCGAGTTAGCGAAACTTCCAACTTTAAAGAATGAACGGAGTTCACATACAGCCCAGCCTCCCGCAATAGAAGCTACAATACCACCAGAGATCATCATGGGCTTAAG